GGGGGGGGGGCTACACCTGGAGGCTATCTCGCTTATTACTGGACCGAATTTTACCAAATTTCACACATATAACAAGCATAGTAAGGAGTTCTAAAAGCCGCAATCAAATTTGAGAAAAAAGTTTCGTTTCCATGGATGCGCCGCCATATTGCATTTTATTGACATGTCTTACGTAATGAATACCGCACTTATCGCTCATGGAAATTGACTTTTTTTGGCATGCGTGTTCACAAACATTAGATCTAAAAATACGTCTGTTGTTTTTTTCCTAATCGAATTAGAAAATTTTTAATGAATTTTTTCCTGAGGTAGCATTCAAGTTTGCGAAAAATCCGTGAAAATCCACACTCCAGACACCACCAACAAAAATTTATTCCATATATCAAATATTCAACAAACAAATTTTTAGTATTACATCTTTTCTTCATTCTGTAAAAATTTAATGAAGATTGGATGAAAAATGGTGGAGTTATTCAAAAAAGTATAGAGATAAGTCGCATTTTGAGAAAACGGCCGATAAAGAAAAATAAAATACTGACTTTATGAGGAAATGGCGGTTACAAACATGCCCGGTACGGGAAAAAATACGGTTTTGGGGGGTTCTTATGCCATGAAATAGTTGTAGGAGAGGCTGACGAAGCTAGAAATGCCTACAACTCAAATTTCATGATTTTGAGCCGAATTTTGATTTCGCCCCCCTTAAAGATTTAAAAATATTCAACACAAAACCATTTCTTCACATTATAGTGACTACGACAGTTAACACAACTGAAATGAAACTAGCTGTAACAACCTTCACACTGAATCATCTTCAATTCACCATCATCTAGATGACCATAAGTCCCACAATGGAAAACATTTTCTTCTCCCTTCTGATTCACACGAGTACGTTTTACTTAAGCCATCAGAATCAAAGTGGCCATGAAAAAAAAAAAAAAAAAAATCATGATAAATAAGAAGAGGAGTGAGGGATCCTACATCTCGAACATCGCCAGAGGAATACAACCCATTATCACGAACCTGAGAACGAGAGAGCACTGCTCAGAAGAAGATAACTCGGAAAACATCTTCAAACCCCCTGGTTTTTCTTTTACGACATGTGAAAATCTGGCTATGTTTTGGCCGACCTTTCACATGCACAGGCAGCAAAACAACCAGACTAAAGGAAGGAGCAGGGTCAGAGGAAGAAGGAACATCAAGAGGTTGGGACAAGCCATCAAAGACTCAACAGAATTCTCTACTCTCCATGAACAAAAGAGACTTGACAATTGAAGGTATAATTTATCTTCAAAGTCCCGACCTCCCAACCGAGACATAAAAGAAACATTTTTTTAGACAAAAGCTCCAGTTTTGTACTTTCTTCAGGGGTCTGCTCAACCGGCGAGAACTGCAAATTGGGGAAGACAACTGACCTGGCCAATCAACCCCAGTTTCCAAAGGACACGGTTTGGACCGATGACCAGAGGGTAAAGTAAAGTTGTTCCCACATCTAATCCGGACATTGGGGAATGCCTTGTTAGAGAGACAACTTCCTGGGCCTCCGGCATATTCTGGTAGGGTGGCCAGTTCCTTTCCACACCGCCTTTATTTCCCCAACTCGAAGTCAGGTACCCATTACTGCTGGGTGGGCAGGAGGGGGCGAAAAAAAGCTGCCACAGCCTGAGTCCTTGAAATTTGAAAATATACATTTTTTTGTGCCTTTAATCAGTTTTTCAGTAATATTCACACAAAAAAGTGATTTAAAAGAACATAAAATGGGTTGAGCCACAAAAAGAAAATTAGAAAAAAAATTCATAGCCAAAAAAAAAAGCTGATTTCTTTGATTTTATAGTTTTGACGAGCGCCTGATTTCACCACAATGCCTCACATTTGTCATAAGTAATGTCCATTATGAGGATCTCACTAAAATTACTGGCCAGTGCCATCATGTCTTTAGTAGTATACGACAGATACTTCAAATGACCCAGCGAGTCCACACTGAAATCTACTACTCCACCACCGTACACAATGGAATGGAGCGTGGAGAGTGGACTCTACTTCAGAAGCATCTGATTATTTATGACCCCGATGCCTTTGGAGAAGATTATAGACATCCTTGGTAAGGACATGCTTCCCTTGTTCCATTTTTACAACCTTGACTATGTCCTGGGCCGAAACACTAGGACATCCCAGGAGAAGCTCTATCCCAGGTCTTTCTTGTCTCGGAAAATACAGCGAGAGCCTGAGGAAAACCAAGGGAAAAAAATCAAGTTTAAAGATACCATTAAAGTGCATCAGATCTACATCTTTGGACTTGCCAGTTAGTAGACTTACACAGGTTAGACTCAATTTTTATACTTGCATTTTTTTTTCTTTCTCTCTCTCTCTGCCTACTGGTGTCCTGATGGAAAATCAAGCCCACCTTCTCCTAAAATGACCATGATGAAGTTGATGGGGAAGTAAAACCCAAACACTTACCCTTAGTAGAAAACTGCCAATTTTTACCCTATGGCAGTTGGCAGCTCTAGTATAAGTTTCCTGCTTAACTCACTTGAGCCTATCCCCGTGTATTTACGGGTTGCGCATTATCGATCTATATTTCCGGCGTTTTTCAGTTACAAGCTATGGGAAACGATGAGCCAACAGTTGAACCACTTATTTCATTTCCTTAATAATTTGGTGAAGTTACATGTGATACTTTTATAGTTGTAACAGACTTTGTCAATCACCCCTGCACTGTGATAAATGATTTTATTACAAATTGAAGCAACAACAAAATTGCCTAACTCCAAGACATTGCCATTTCAAAATATTCAAAAAATAAAATCTGTTTGGACGAATAGCATGCAGTTTTCTTTTTCTGTGAGAACATTACTTTCTTTCTTTCTTTTGTTGTATTAAAAAAATTATGATAGCTTTCAGTCTTTTTGCAGTTAACGATTCAATATACCCCACAAACTGTCAGGCTGAAATAGTTGTTGGGTGAAAAATAGTTCAGGCTCAAGTGAGTTCAGAGCGATGCCTTTCTTATACTAGCAAGTTCGCGAAAAATAACATAGAGAGAAAAATGAAAAACTTTCCTGTTGGTATAGACATATTTTTTCATTTAAAGAATGTTAAGTTAATCTGCTTTCTCTCTAACACTGGTCAATAAAATTTTGAAAAATGGAATTTGGGTCGTAGAATTCGAAACTGGTGTCAGATTTTCTCTATCAGGTCGGGTTTCTAGAATAAAGGCACTATTTGTGGCCAGCCAAATGATGCGGCCACTTTCCTTATAGAGCAAATTACTCAGGTCTCGTTTCCTTTTCTAAATGGAAACCAAGCTCCCGTGATGCAATGGCATGAATCACACGTTCACAACAAAGATGGCCTCGATTAGCAGCAAAGTTTTAGAACGGCAGTGGTTTGAAGAATTTGGTCGATCAAAATATTTCAAATTGAAAACTTGACTGGTCACTTGTCCATGTTCATTACAAAGCTGTCCTATATCTTTATTCGATTATAGATTCATGTGATGAAGTAATGAATAAATATCTTTTGTTTTTTTGTAAGTGCTTTACGGACCTTGCAGCTGCATAAAGTCATTGTGCCGGACACAATAAACATCTTCAGTTGGTAGGAAATTTTGAATTTTACCCAGGCGGCGGCAGAAGCCTACTCTTATCCATTTTGGACCACCAACGGATTTTTAACGTACACAACTTGCACACAGGACTGCCAAGACTTTTCGCCCTTGTCCGAGAAGGCAAGGTGTAAATCTTTCCTACCAGAAGATCAGGGGTGTGGCTGAAAGACAGCACTGCCGTAAGCTGACAAACATTTTTTTTTCATTTTGTTGCCAACAATATTTTTATTTGCTAAATCAAGTCTGATCAGTAACCTCACTTGTGTGAAAAAATCCGGGAGACACTGGGACTAGTTTCAGAATAAATTCAAACTCAGATTGCAAAATCACTCTATTTTTCAACGTTAATGCTGATAAAAAACTCTATTTCTCGAAATTGCTCTTTCCAAAAAAAGGTGTTTGGTCAGCTTACGGCAGAGCAGTAAGGAGCCATGGAGTAGCAGTAGAAAGGCAGCAGAAAGAGTCAGGAGCCCAGAGGAGGGGGCAAAGGAGGTGAGGGGTGGGGGCAGAAACTGGAGACGAAAGCAGACGACAGAACATTGTTAGAGAGCAGGAAAGGAGGTGAAAGGAGAAATGGTCACAAATAGTGCCTTTACTCTAGTAAGATACGTCGCAATTTAAAAAAAAAAATCTTTGTTTCATTTAAACCCATAGAATCTCCCTCACTATTTGGGCTTAGGCATGCAGATCTGCGACTCATCCCAATTTAATTGGGCTATCCCGATTTTTTGCCTCAAATCTCAAGCATCCAGATTTTCCCGATTTCGATCACGTGTATCCTGATTTATTTATTTTTGTATCGTCTGTTGCGCGGGATTTTTTTAAAACTGACTCTGCCTTCTTCTCTGTCGCGGGTGGCACCCGTTAAACTTTATGTCAGCAGGAACTCGGAGCACTATTTTCCAAAATATCGATGCCTGATTTAGTTTTTCCACCCCTAGTTGTGTTGGAACTTTGGTCGCACATGTTGTTTTAACTTTAATGGAAGTAGTATCGATTTGGCATTCCCACTTGGGGCATTCTCAAGATTTACTTTAGTCTTTGCATCCACTCTCAGAATCTCTGACGATGGCTTTATAACTGTTTCAATTGCAATAGCGGCCTACAAATGATTATTCGTTCACTGTTACTTTCAAAACAAGCTTTGTCCGAGTTCTGGTTAGACGAGCCAGTCATCAAAACCCGTCGGTACAACTGTTTCATTTGAGCATTCGCATCACATGACATGACTTCAGCGTGTGAGTTACGCGTGTGTCTGAGACTGTTCGACGACAGGGTCAAGATAAGTTCATTTATTGTCAAGGGCCAACATAATTTCATTCATTCACGCTGGTAGAAAAGTCTTTCGGGACTTATTGGGGGGGGGGGGGGGGGGGGGGGGGGTGTTAGACACTTGGACTTAGAGTGCATGATGTGATTCTTAAGGATTTAACAAAAATAGAACACACACACACAGACACATGTACACACACAGACACATGTACACACACACAGGGCATATACATGGTTATATTTATCGGCACCCCAGGAAATTTTTTAGTCAGCTTGGCACCTTGGTGATTTGCCTTCATCGTGATTTGCCTTCATCGTGATTCGTCCTTCATCCCGATTTCTCCCGGTGAGAACCTGATTTTTAGATTTCATAGAGTGGCAGTTCCTGGCATGAGAATATGAATTTCGTCTGGAATTTGGGTCGTAGAATTGAAGTCTGGTGTTAGATTTTCTCTATCAGGTCAGGATTTTTAAAAGGACATATCACTTCTTTTTTTTTTTTTGGGGGGGGGGGGGGGGTTCTCTTTGATTCGTTTACACATAAACCCCTAAGATGTCATGTATATGAGTATTAAAAATAAAATTTTATTTCATTTTTAAAAATTTAAGTTCAGCTCATTATGCAACATCTTTTTCTTGAGAGAAATCATCATCTGTACAAAAGAATCATCACATGTGACTCTTTGAAATCCCACGGGGACGTTCAAATATAATCTTACACCTGGAAGAGGGGGTGTCTTTGGATCCTGTAAGAAAAGTGTAAGGGGGTTGTCTTGAACCAAAGTGGCAATATTTTTCCTTATAAGTAAGAAATGTTGTTTGGTAAGTGTTTTATGGCGGTCATATGAGCGCGCGGGACAAACCTAACATTTTCCGTCAGTAGGAAATTTTGAATTTTGCCCGGGTGGCGGCAGATGCCTACTCTTATCGATTTTGGACCACCAAGGGATCTTCAACGTTCGCAACTTGCACATGAAAACTCCAAGATTTTTCGCCCTTGTCCGAGGCTAGGTGTAGATCTTTCCTACCAAAAGATCAGGGGTGTGGCTGAAAGACAGCAGTAAGAAGGAGCAAAGGAGAAAAAAAGTAAAGGCGGCAAAAAGAGTCAGGTGTAAGATCATATTTGAACAGCTCTCATGTCCAACTAAAATGCCCTCTTTCAACTCAATTAGCACCACTGATGCATGGGAATTGCTTTTTCTGTCCAGACATTGTAGCAGCCTACCAGAAAAACACTGAAAATACTGTGGGTTGGCACTAAATTAAAAAATAGTTCACGAAATGACACAACCAAGTAGTAGAAACCACTAGCACATTATCTTTAACAAATGATCATCAAATATTTACTCCCGTTTGAAATTTCCTCGTGACCTTATTACACAATTTAAAAAATACTGTTTATCTTTCTTGCAATATTTTTATTACTGTTTGTGTAAACAATAAACTATACGAATGAAACGAGTTTGAATTTTAAGACAATATGTCATTTAAAACTGTGATATGGGATATTATGCAAATATACCACGCTCAGTTAATTGTCTTTCGCGAGAGAATAGAAGTTACTTCCCTTGTCTATTATTCTTATCTCCCCTAACTAATTCAAGGATACCTGAAATTGTGTGTGTATATATATATTACTAGCTGGGCCCCCTTTCGATGAAAGGAATGATCGGCGGTGCCTATACGTTCTTATACTAACCATTCTCTGATCGTCTAGGCCGGGTTTAATATCAACTAAAAGTCATTGGCCTACTATATTTACACTCAAACGGAATGGGGCAATAAATCTTGAGAGATGCAAACAATTATAAGGTCTAGATCTATACTCTCAAAACAAAACGCGCCTCACGAAATATCACTTCCCGATTTTCTAAAATTACAGAGCAGAAGCGTCGGCCTACAAAAGCGATTGGCTAAATAAAGAAATTTTGCTTTTAGCAGCAAAACTGTCTCAAAACTGAAAAAAACCAAGGGCGCCATGCTTTGGAAAATATTTTAAAGAATTTTTTGGCGAAAATCGCATGTCGATCGATGCAGCCATTAAAAAGCCTTTTGAATAGCAAAATTCGGCCACCACAAATAGATAATAGATGCGAATCCTGCAAAAACCTGATCTGATAGATGAAAACTAACAACATATTTGGGTTCAGCATTTCAATTTCCCAAAGAGTTAACAAATTATGTTGCTAAGCCTTTTTCATCGTTGACCAATGTAATTAAGGAAGTATACACAACTGCACCTACCTCTTTTGATGGAGTAGAGGTGTCATGATCAACCTTTACCTTGGTCAGAACAAATGACCAAGTCCCACTGACCTCTTTCAGTACAGCTCTCATTTGGGCTGAGCTGCCAGACAAGTACAATGGCATAGTGGTAATTTCTATATCAAGATGATTACTTCCTGTATGAAAAATATATTAGTCATAGCATTTACTAACATTCTATAACACTATTAGCTAAAACAATCCATGGTGTTGCAGTGTGGAACTTTTAGTTACTGCTTGACTACCTCCCAAGTGTCTAACTTGGAAGGATTGTGGATTAAAATTTCAGAAAAGCAGTTCTTTGCATATGCATAAAGAGAAAGTTTTGATGCTTTACGTACAGTGGAACCCTCAAAACTTCCGCCCTACGTTATGGGCTGAAAACAACATGGATAGTCCAAGAATTGCTGTAAATTGACTGCCGATAATGCTAGATCTACTCACCTGTACCCCCAACGCGTTCTAAACTTAGCTCATCTTGCCACATTCTAAATAATATTGCAGATATTTCATTAATATAAAAGGATTTTTCTATAAATGCAGGCAAATAAAACTCTGTCATAAATGAGTGGCCTTCAGGCCTGGGATTTTTGTCTGTAGGTGTAAGAAGAGGAAATTTATTTTAAATGAGATAGCTAAAGTATAAATAATGAAAGGAAAAATTCCTATATATATCTAATGATATAGTGTTCACATTTTGTTAATTGAACATATTCAATGGGCACATTTCCGGACAGCTGTTCATATATATATATATATGTATCAAGTGTTACACTAGAGTTGGATGAGGAAATGAACTATCTGCTTCAATTTTTACTCTAATGCTATCATTAAGCCGGACACTGACCACACAGGTCGATCGTAATAATCGTCGTACAATCATCGATTCTTAGCACAATTTGAACAGATCAAAGACTGATTGAGACTGGAAGACGAAAGTTGGTCTGATCAGTCAAGAACTGACAGAAGACTGCCAGCTCGCCTGAATTCAGGATGCTACATCCCTCTCCCCACCTTCCTCTGTGAGTTTACACCCTCCCTCAATCGCTACACTATCACTTTGTGACAATTAACATTTCAATAATGTTCCGTCAATTGCCACATCGCCATTCTGAGGTAATTAACGCTACCTTAAAAAACTTCAGAAGCTTCCGCTTTATGGTATTTATGCAAAATATCAAGTGTGAGACTTCCCCCTGTGTCACAACATCATTCTACATTGTTGCATAAACATGGAAGAACAGCGTGCTGATAATTCAAAAGAAACGCGAAGAAGAGGCAAAAATATGCTTGTCATAATGGATTGGCATAATGTTATGAACGACACAGAGTGTCATAATGGGTATGAACGAAACCCTTACCATGTAATTTACAGTTGTTTTGGGAAGTATTTTTAATTTTCACCCAACTAAAGGAAGTATTAGACTGTTTAAATTCTGATATTTTGATTTTTGTCATAAGTGTATTGGTGTGTATTTAAATCAGTGTTTTACTTTTGTGGAAATTGTTCAGAACAAACTACTTATTGTCCATTTAATATTTTCAGTGATAATACACTTTAAAATCTTAAACTTTGAATTCTTCCATTGCATATTTTGAGGAGAATCTTATAAATGAAAACCATTACATGTGAATGACAGAACAATTAGTTAATTTTTGGGCCCAAAGTTAGATTTGTCATAATAGTGGTGAATGTACCTTTAATCTATTCATAACATGCCCTATGACCAGTTTGCCTTGAAAAATAACTGTTAAATGGTCTTTTATCACTTGGCTACAATTCGATCAGAGAGTTATTTTCATAGACAATTCTAGTCAATGAAACTTGACAAAATTGACACCGGTAGTTTTCTGGTCACTTATTGTTCATTCATAACTATTATGACACAAAGTAATTTTGGGGGCTCTCGTGGCCTAGGAGGTTAAGGTGTCCAAATCCAGGTTACGACGGAAAAATTTTCTTCTCTGAATTTGTCTCTTTTCCCGCTCTCCAGCAATATTCTGTCATCTGCTTTCGTCTCCACTTTCTATCCTCACCCCCTCTCCTCCTTTGACCCTCCTCTGGGCTCCTGTCTCTTTCTGCAGCCTTTCTACTGATACTCCTTGGCTCCTTCTTACTGCTGTCTTTCAGCCACATCCCTAATCTTCTGGTAGGGAAAATCTACACCTAGCCTTCTCAGACAATGGCGACAAATCTCGGCGGTCCCGTGTGCAAGTTGCGCACGTTAAAGGTCCCTTGGTGGTCTAAAATCGATAAGAGTAGGATTCGGCTGCCATCCAGGCAAAATTCAAAATTTCCTACCAACTGAAAATGTTTAGTGTGTCCTGCACGCTCATATGACCTTATGTAGTTGCGAGTGCCGTAAAACACCAAAAAAATAAAAAGTGTTATATCATGTCGATTCTATGTATTTTTGGAAGTTGTTTGCTATGACTCAAAATATAACTTCAGCCAAGCTGAAGAAGGGAACTTTGATTATTCATAAATTTGTGTCAATGTTGTTATGAACAAACTTTTAGTTATTTCCGTCCTTTAAGCCAGAATTACACCAAGACCATTGCAGATCACTAGCAACGTGATTCAACCACGTAAGTGACAAAATTTTCGAAAATCGCTTTTTGATCCCTCTATGTTTTACAGCCTTTGATACACCTAAAGTTACGTTACTTTACTTTTCCGATCCAGAGGCCTTCTAGGTTCTAGCCCTTTGGCCTGTCGACATGGTAATGAATTTACAGGCTTTTATCAGCTGTGTTTTGTCACTGTATAAAGTATTTACGATAACTGGGGAGGAAGGTCGGTAGGTGCTAGACCTTATGTTGAAATCTCAAGTTTGAAAGATTAATGCAAAGTATTTTAATCCTTCAGTAAATCAATTTTCTATATCACACCACTCCCCAATTTCCACATGATTCAAAAGCCCAAGTTTTGAAGCCCACGGAAAATGAGAAGTTGAATTACGCAGATTCAGTGACTTGTTGGCGTGTTCACCTGTCATGTAGACGGAGCGCCCCAATCGACTGTGGCCTTTGTTAAAGTTAAAGCGGACTGGGGGGGTAACACCAAAACAAAGTGACTCAGATCAAACCCTATCGATAGCCAGAAGATTTTGCCAACACAGTTTGCATTATCTACCACTAGGTTGGGTAGTGTAGTTGAGAAAGGGCAAGATGACATCAAAGAATAGGAAACCGGTCATTTTGTCACACTCCAAATATGTGCGACGAAATGACTTTGCTCTCCAAAATTGTTACGGCTCGTAGAGTTTAGGAGGATCAGTGCCAGCAGTCCTTATTCTTTATCACCAATTCAAGCAAATAATCGTTGGGCCGTGTCCTCTTGTTTTTAAGCAATTTATGCCTGAAACTGCCCCCCCCCCCCCTCCCATAAAAACAACTCAACAAAACTCACCCAGTTATGAACGGTGTAGCGGATCAGGCAGGCACTACGACTCGCATCTCCCCCCGTCCTTCCACACACCACCTACCCCAAAAATCATGATTTGCGATTTCCATGACAATTCGCCTTTGATGTTTGCAACAATTTTGTGACAAAATGATCATCTCCATTCAACCTAGTTTATTTGAGGTGTGATGAGATGACTGTGACGCCTTGACTGCATCGGTGAGACGAAATGACCTTGTGACTAAATGACTGGTACTCAAAGAATATAATGTGTTAATACTGATTCAACCAAGTCTGTAAAATTTGTGGAAAGTTAAAGTAGACTAATTAACTAGATCTAGTTAATTAATCTAGATCTAGACTGATTGTTTTTAAAAACATGTCCTTACCTTGACAAAATCTTGACGTATAAAAACTGTGTCAGTCTCAGCAGCCAATTTTTCCATTGCGTTTTCCAACAGTTCAAATGATGAAAACGTCTTGCCGACAGTAATAGCCATTGTTGAATCATGCCAAGTCAAGGTCGAAGAAATGAAACTTCAAACTTGGCTTTACGCCTACAAGTCCACACTCCAAACGGGACCTTTGATACGACCGGGGCCAACAGATGCGACCTATGATATGACCAGGGCCAAAACAGGTTTCAGTCAACAGGGCCTAACCTTAGTACGGCTAGACTGGCAGGCTAGCCGTACTTAAGTAGGCATAAGGCTAGACGGCTAGGCTAGCTGTACTTAAGTACGGCTAGCTACTCATAGGCAAGCCGTCTAGCCGTCATCTTGCCACTTTGAATTGCAAACTAGAACTAGATCTTTCTACATTCAGGGTGCCGCGAACTTTGTTATTCTAGGCCAAAGGGTGACAATAATCTGGTCATTTTTCTGCCTTCCAAACCGAAACACTTACACAATTCATTATTCGTTCCGCGATAAATTGAAAAGTGACGACCCATTATTTGATGCATTCAAAATACAGCAAAGTAAGATATGGCTGTAAACAAGGAGAGAGGAGACACCAGCCTGAGCCCACTATGCCCAAACTGATACTAACACAAACTAACT